GGAGAGAGAGAGAGAGAGAGAGAGAGAGAGAGAGAGAGAGAGAGAGAGAGAGTGAGAACCTATCTGGCAGGGCGCGAGCCGGAGAGAGCGCGAGAGAGCATTTAAAAGCGGCGGCCTGTCACCGATTTTCATAATTCACAGCTCGTTAAATTTGTTTCGCTTTTTGCCCCGCTTTTCGCGGTTACGCGCCCCGACGCCATTAATCTACCTTCGGTCGTTTTCAATGAGTTTAATCGCGTTTCAAAAACAATATGGGTCAACGCCACGCTTGTGTTATTCCTGACACGTGAGCATGACCTTCTCGCCATTTTCATTTCGATTTCGGTTCCCATTCATGCCGTTGCAGATAACACGCGATAATGAGCGCCGGTGTTTTTAAAAAGTTTGACGTTGCGACATTCCGAGTCGCGTTTTGTATTGCATTTGTAGCGAGGCAAGAACGAAATTCTATAAAGATACGATTTAAGGCGAAATTTAAGTTTGGTCTTTTCAAAATGTCTGTATTTACGATTATTCGTTTACTATAACGGTAGGAAAGCAGTCATATTATAACCGTTTTATATATTATATAACTAAGTGTATATTATATAGCCAAGTTGTATACACATCTATAGATTTATATTCTAGCGAAATGGAGGAAGGTGAACACAATTCAGTGGTATTTCCTTCGTACGAGATCGATGATCAGGAAATTTCCCAAGGTACGATCGCAAATCTCCGAGACTTTTCACGAGATGTCTGCACAACCTTCCTTCAATATGTTCCCATGACTTCTCGGTGGGAAACGCTAACGTCTAATATTAAAGCCTACAAAAACTTCTGTGACGCCCTTCGTCCTTCCTTGGGGAAGGAAATAGGAACAACGGTCTTTGCCCTCAATGGCGTGGACGCGAAGTTGCGGCATCAAACTCGGAAACTGAAAATTTATGCAGTAAAAACAGTCGCACTTTTGTTTAATGATTTATTATATTAATTTAACGGTTTATAGAATTAATTACGCTGGTCAATTTGATCTCTGTATTTATATTTATCTACGAGTATCATATAAAAGTAAAATCAATGAAGCTTGTTAAAGCTTATCAGTTGTATTTCATTAATACAGACATCGT